ATAAAGTTTGAGGGAATTCTGTAGCCTGCGGTTTTTTGTTGCTTTTCTCAATGAACCCATCATTTCAACCCTACAGCACTACAAAACATAATCAAATGCCTCTCCAATTCTGTAAAAGCAAGATGATGACTTCTTACATTTTACAAAAGCACTCAAACAATTATTCTAAGAACAAACAACAAAAAACTTTTAATGTTCCAAGTACCGTAAAAACAAAGTCCATCATCAAACTCAAAGTAGCAATGTAAAAGGAAACACAAGTGACAGCAGCAAGGTCATTTTTCCATCATAGGCAGTTTTCCATTCAAGGCACTGGAAATAATATGCTGCTTGGATCTTTAAAAATTATTCATCTTTAATCACTGTAGAAAACTCTGATTCAGTGTATGTGGCATGCTGCTGAATGTGTCAGTATTGTATTTACTAACAAAAAGGGAATCAAGGAAATCACAAAGAATAAAATTAAATGCTTACATTTTTTTTTCCTCCTTCGAGTTCTGTTTCTTTTTAAAAAATAATATAATTGCTTTGTGCTAATCTGTTAAAACTATTGGATAATTGATTCCTTACCTATTTATTTCCAGGTGACAGAGAAAACAAGAAGCTGATAAGAAACCTCAGGAACATGTATGCTCCATATAGGCAAGCTAGAAGTCTATACCATAGCAGTACTGATCTAAATTTTAACAGTTCTTGGCTTTCTCCTATCTACTGGCAGCACAGACAAGGCAAAGATACTGAGAAAGAGAAAAAGGAGACAGCAAACACTGATAGCACCTACAAAAAGAACTGTAAAATCTCTAACTCTGAACTTCCTTGCTTGCAAGGTACTTCAACTACCATACCGAATGCAAAATACTTGCATTCAGAAATGCCTGAACTTTATGCGAGTTATTTTTATGAATTCTGCAACATGAAAGCATCAGCTAACCTGTGTGTTCAACCAAAAAGACACCTGTGGTTCACTAAGGCACGTAATATTACTTCCCGCTGAACATACGCGTCCAGTTCTATGCTGTACATTCTCACTGCTTCCCAAACTTTGTGACTTGTGGAAATCCACGATGGTAGTTTCAAATGCAGGTACAGGAAGAGACTCTGTTCTTGGAGTCTGAGTTGGCTTCTTGTTTGTAGTGTTACTGAATCTGTCTGAATAAAACATGTAAAGTCTAAATAATTAAACTTGCTTGTGATCATTTCTAGGTATGCTGTATAGCACACTAGTTGACATAACTACAGTAACCATCACAAGAACTATAGCTACACACAGCTCATACCAAAAAAAGACAACCTAACAATTATAACCAACAGGTATACAAACCACCAACTCAATAAGCAACTGTAAATTCAGATGCTTGCTTAGGAAATTTTTCGTATCAGTTTACATGAATTTGTCCAATCAGCAAAAAGGTGTAAGTCACTGTCCCTTGTCAAGAAATAACACAGGAAAGAAATCCTGCTCCTTAATTATTCTAGATTTAGAAACATGGTCACAAACTGGAGGCTACAGCAGTCAACCGTTTCACATATATTTGATGCATTTCTAACTAAACAACACATTTGTACCTGGCTTCACGGAATCTCTGCTGCATGCAGAGGTCTGGTACGAAGTCCTGTTCACAATTCTGACAGAAGAGTCATCTCCATCATGCCTTTTCTTGTCTATTTTTTTCTCACTCTCTTTTGATCTCCTCTGCTGCAAGTATTTGTGACATATTTAGTTGATTTTATTTGAACTTTGTAAAGTCATCAAGTTTGCCTTGAGTTACAATTAACTATCTCTGCACGTGGAGCTTGACCACCAAATTAATACAACATAAACAGTTAGTATACCATAACCACAACTAACCAATAAAACCAGGAACAGACAGTTAGAGATTTGTTATTTAATTCCATCTTGTTAACTGTGCATTTTTAGCACATATTATAGCCCAAGCAAGAGGGATTGATTACTCCTTATTTATCTAGACAACTGTTCTTAAGATCTCAGCATTTCCACTAGTTTACAATTGTTTGGCCTTAAATCATCCAGAGTGATTTTCTAAAACAGAGTTTCTTCTGGAACAGGGCAAAAATCTTAAAAGCATTCAAATCTTTCGACTAAACTACATATTAAATGAAAAACTAGGCAAGACTGATGTCACAACATCCAAAACACTCTGAGCACATGAAGTAAGTAGAAAAGATGGCACTTACTTAATCCCAGTAAAGGAAACACATTCACCTACACTGTGGAGTCCTGAAAGCCTTGCAATTCTCACAAGAAAGTTTGGCAGAGCTGGCTCAGGAATCAGTACCTCAAGCAAGGAACAATCGCTTGGCTTGCATCTCTGCAAAGTATACTGTATTGACCTAGATGAGTGGATTAACTCTTTCTGATCACAGGATGCGGGGCTGAATTGAAAGTACATCTGGCAGCAACATTATTTTCTTAGGTGGTAGGACAAGGCATTTCCTGGCCTCCAAAGCTAAACTGCTAAAACTTTAGGAGATGTGATCAAATTAATGCAAAGCTGCAAAGACCAATCAGTTCTCTTCAAGCTCACAAAAAAAAAAAAAAAAAGGCAGAAAACCCCCAAAGAATCAAACCAAAACAAAAAAAACAACTAGCAAACAAAAAAAACCCCAAACAAAAAACCCTAAACAAAACAAGGAGTAATGACAAAAAGACTGTCAAACTGAACTGTACACAGCTCACCCCAAGCTCCTACAAAGACCACAGAACTCCTCCCAGTAGCTAAACTAAGTTTCTTCATATTACATCACCTGTGTTAATGCTGAGCTAATTATCTCTCCGGACAGCTTCACTGTTTAAGTTTTCTCTCAGCAAGAAAACTACTGATTTTAGGTCTCTAGCCTTTGTATGTTATGGCTAGTAATGCACACTTAGGACCTAATCTTACAACTTCCTCTACACAGGCTTGACAACAGTGAAGCTACCAGGTCTCTGCCTAGGGAGTAAAGTCCACCTAAGGGATGTGGCTGAATGAACAGATTACTTGAACCTTTTGGAAACAACAACAGCCTTTTAGATCCTTCCACAGAGGGAAATGGATTAATAATACATTTGGGTTTTTTCCCTTATTTTTGTATTTCAAAGAGTTTGTCTACACTTTTGTTTGAAAATATTATCCAAGTTTCTTATCCTCAAACAGACACACACAAAAAATGACAGATGATGTTTACTGAGCACCTGTTTTACTTTTGATTGAAAGAGAGTATTTCTAACATGAGCCTTTCTTCCCTCACCATACCACCACAAGTTCATACTTTCTTATGGACTATTTTCTTCCTGTAGCAGCTCTTCTAAATCCTTCAGTGACAGATGTAATCTCATTACTAATCAGCCACATAGCTGATTAAAGCCACCAGCTCTCTCTAACTCAGGTTCATGGAAGCTGCCATTGGGCTTAAAAAAAAAAAGCCCTTCCACTTGCCCACCTAGGCCCGAATAGTCAAAAAAAAAGAAAAAATAGTCAAAAAGGAAAGTAAGCAATGGTTTGGCTTTTGTGGGTTTTTTTGGGTTCCCACCTCCAAGCTGCTTCCTGAGGAAAGATAATTAAATTCCCCTCATGTTCCAAAAATAATGCTTGAAAAAAAGTGTCTTTCCATGGGCTTTTTTTTGAAGTGTGGTTGGGCACATTACTACCATCCTCTTAAAATGGCATTCATTATCACAAGAACAGAGAGTTACTATTCACTTTAAAAAACAAACCAAACATTTACAAAGACTGATTTTAAACAAGAATTTAGTTTTAATCAAAAAAAAAAAAAAAAGAAAAAAAAAATATTTGCTCACCTTTGAAAGATTCTTGCTTTCTTGTCTGATCGGATAAGTTTGCTCAGTTGGCTCGCTGACTATTCCCAAACCTTTAGAGTGTGTTGAGTTGTTAGACCGATACTGTGAGCCAGCTACTGGATATGCATTTGCAACAATATCAGGTGAGTAAGAGCAGCTGGAATATTCACAGAAGGCAGGATCTCCCAGAACACTATGTGATGGACATTAAGAAACAGATCAGAAGTCATCCCGGGGTATAATTTCAGCACATACCTGTTGCCTAAATAAACATATCATTCCATGGCTGAAGAATATGTTTAACAAGCAAGCTGTATTTCAGAAGAAAACCATTCCATGTAACTTCAATTAAGTATTCAGTCATTGCTGTGGACTGCTCTAAAAATTATTAATTTTGGTTTGGGCAAACATGCAGTTTAGCAATTATTTAAACACACGGATGTTATCTGTCTCCAGGTTTCAAAGCTAGCCTGCTTTGCAGTTACAGTCCTCATTTCTGTTTAAGGTTATCAAGATTCTTCATACCTTCCTCCAGTAGGCTTTTTCTTGTGAAACAAACCAAATACACAGTTAAACTACATGACATGCATTACATACTTGACCACAACAATACAAGCATTAAAACCTGTCTTATAATACTGAATAACAAAGTAGGAGTATAGCATCTTATAGGGTATAAGACATGGGCTCAAGATCAAGAATTAGTACATGAAATACAACACAGAATTACAAGGTAATCATTAACTGACCTGCCTTTAACCATCACAGTTTATGAAAATTGGGTCTGGGGCATGCCTTTTTCCTTCAAATGTATACAACATTCCCTTCCAATTTCATCCTACACTTCGGCCAGAAACTATATACTGAGATCCAAATTTGATTAGGGACAAAGGAGATTTCTCAGCTTAAGAAAGTTGAATTTAGTTTTTAAAGCTGTTCACCATGAACTGGTCAACCTCTGAATCTTCGGTAGATAACGAAAAACAGAGAATGAGAGGCTTCAGACAACACATTTCTTACTGCTTGCTGCAATTCTTACAATCATAGTTTACACACAGAGAAGAAAA